TTAAATAATCAATCAATCACATAAAAGACAATAATTTAACGTGGTTTGATCTAATTGACCTACGTCTACAAATGAAAAACAAGATCTACTAGTTGTACAGAATTACAAACATACATAAAATCAAATCATCAATCACTAAATACTTATAGATCCTCTTAATCTCTTTTAGTCATATAAAGTATTCTTAACCTAAATAAATATATACTCATGTGCACACTTTCAATACAATCAAACACATACACATATGCACCAATATATCACATTTATGTGGACTCTTTCAGTTTCTTCCAGTTCACTCACAAGTAAATATACATACTCATGAGACGTAAAATCTCAATACTTTTATAAAATATTTATCTCACAAAATCTTATAACTCTATTACATCTTTTTTTTCATATCTAACATTGTAGACAGTTCACATATTTATAATAATACAAACTTACCTATTAAGAATCTCTTTCCTCTTAAAATTATTCTCTTACAAGTCAAATTTGTCTATTAAAAATTTTTTTTTTTTTAAATTTTTCATCTACTAATTTTTTTATTCATTAAATAATATTTAATAAATCTCAAATAAATCTCTAACAAATCTCAAATAAATATCTTATTAAATTTGAGTTATTATTTCTAACTTACAAATAGCAAGAGCTCCCTATCACGAAACCGAAACCCATTTCAATTATGTTTTTTTTTTTTTTTTTGCTTTTTTAGGAATTTATTTTCAGTAAACTGAGAAAGAAATGAAGCTTGCTTTTACTTTGCTGTAACTTCCTTTGCATCGATTTTGGGCGCTTCCCTTTCTTTTATAAGTGGAAAAATGTCGTCTCCTACATATTTTCCGGTAATTTAGTATTTAAAAAAATAAAATTATCAATTTATTATTAAAATTTTCATTCTGTCATTAATTATGATATATTGGACTAAGATCATTAAACAAACTTATCAACATAATATAAAATTTTAATAAGATATTATACCTATTAAAAAATTTTTAAAATTTCTTTTAAAAAATTAGAAAATTTTTTAAAATGATAAAACATTTTAAAATATTTGAAATATTTTTATAAATTATAAAAATAAAAAATTATGAAAACTTAAAAATTTCAAAAAACTCAAAATTTTAATAAAAAATCTAAAAATTTTCCAAAAGATTATGAAAAATTTTAAAAATGAATATTTTAATAAAAATAAAATTTAATTTAATTTCAAAAAAATCATAAAAACTTCAAAATAAAAAATTTTAAATTTTAAATTTTAAAAATTGAAAATTTAAAAAAATATAATTATTTTAAAAAATCTAAAATTTACAAAAAAAAATTTTTTAAATTCTAAAAAAACTAAAATTTTTTGAAATATCAATATTTAAAAAAATTATGAAAAATTAAAAAGTTTTCTGAAAAAAAAAAAAAACTTAAAATTTAATAAAAATCCAAAAAAACTCAAAACAATGTAAAAATTCATAAAATATATAAAAAATTTAAATTGTAAAATAGAAAATGAAATATGTTCATAATTTTTAAAAAATTTTATATAATTTTTTTCAATTTTTAGATTTTTGTAAAAAATTTAAAATTTTTTCTTTTCAATTGTTTTAAGTTTTTATGAATCTTTGTTTTAAATTTTAAAATTTTTTTATTTTTATTTTCATTTTTTTGAATTTCACCAAATATTTTTGAATATTTTTGAAATTTTAATTAAATTTTTGAGATTTTTAAAGTTTGCATAATTTTTTAATTTTTTAAAAAATATTTCATATATTTTTAAATTTTTTTTAAATTTAAATTTTTTAAAAAATTTTACTTTTAATACTAATATGACAATTAATGATGTGATGTCGAGTTAAAATTTTGACATATGTCAACATCTTATTTGATGTTTATGTTATGTTAACAAGTTGATTGACAGAATTAATCTCAAATATCAAAGTGGATGATATGATGAAAGTTTGAGTATGAAATTAAAAAATTTATTTTTTAAAATATTAAACTGACAAAAATATTTAGTAAATAAATTATATTTATATTATCTTTTTTTACAACTCATATTTTTTAAAATATTTCTAAATAAAATTTTAATTATTTTTCCTTTTTTTCTTTACACCCTTCCATTTAAAAATATTTGAATTTACAAATTTAAAAACTTTTAAAAAATTTTGGATTTACATATTCAAAATCATTTAAAACTTTTTAGATTATATCAAAAGCTTAAAAATTTTTATTTTTAATTATTAAAATTAAAAAAATGTAAAGATCTGCATGCTTAGCTTTTTTATCAAATTGTAAATTAATTTATAATTATTTAAAATAATTTGTGTTTTGTTTGTGATATGAAAATTTTTTAGGATATTTTTTTAATTATTTTTTTAAACTCTAAATGTAATTGTTTTTAATTTATCAAATATGAAAATCCAATAAGTTATTAACTTATTGGATATACATATCGGTTAAATTATAAAATTTATCAAAAATTTATATTTAAAATTTTTAAAATTGAAATGTGAGGGATAATTAAATAATTTTGAAAAAAAAAGTTAGGTGTGGAAAGAAAAAAATAAAAGTGTGTTTAAAACCTTCCAGTTTTTATCGTGTGGAAGCTTTTCAAAAAGATAAAAATACCCCTTTTAGTAGTGATAATTATGGGAAACCTTATTTAATTATAAAATATTAATATTTTAAAGTTTTGACAAAGCTTTGTAGATTTATTTTTATTTTTATTTTTTATTTCTAACTCTAACGCATTTGATGTTTGACTCTTTTTGGATAATTGTGTGTTTTCGAAGTATAATTGAATAATTGACTCAAGTCAAAGCTAAGCTTTCTCGTTTAGCTCTGTTTCAATGTTTGATGAGAAAGAATTTGTCATGGTGTGAGTATCGAAAATAATTAAATTTTTAAAAATTTAATTATTTCAAATCATATTTACGGTGTAACGAGAATTTCTCTTCATACGCGCCTAAAGCAACCTTTAAATATATAAGAGAGGTTTTTAATATTAAAAGAAAAATATTAATGAAAAAAAAAAGAAAAAAAGAAAACTTAGATGCCTTCATTTAGAAATACATTAATGAAATATATGTGAGGCATCGTGTGGAAGCAGATGGGCAATTCCAACGGAGATATGTCCAATTGCAAAGAGATCCATATAAGCTGAAATACCGGAAATTTCACCAATACAAAATTGCCAAGTAAGAAAAGTGCAACTTTTATCTTCCAAAAAAATATTACAGTCATATTAGCATATATATATATTTTATTCAAATCATATTATATAATCATATTATTAAAAAAAATTAATTATTTATTATACATCACATGTGATAATTAAATGATTAATATTAATTTTAATAAATAAATAATTTATTTTTTTTAATAATGTGACTATATAATTTAATTTGAACAAAAAGGCTGTATACTAACATGATGTAATCGTCCCATATAATCTTTTTTCTTTGTTCTCAACCTGCAAAGTTTAGATTGCCACGTCACTCAACATTTTTTTAATATATAATCTTCCTAATTCTCCTAGTTTATGGAAAATCTATTAGCAATTTCAACAAAAATCAGTGATCAGCTTCACCAAGCAAATCTGCACTGAAAAACCAAAACCCAACTCTGAGAAGATTTTAGAAAAACCATGAAAAAATAGTTGATCTTTCCCTTACTTTTTTTATTATTAAATAGGAGTAAAATATGATAATTATTATATTACAATATGTGTTAAGGCTTCAAATAAGAAATACATATTTTAATTTTTATCAAATTTATATATGATTTTTTGTTAAAATTTTAAATCATATTTTTTTTATTATTTTTGTATCTATGCAAATCGTCATAACTATTTTTACAAAAAATAAATTAAAAAAATTTCTAAATTTATTTAATAATTCTTTGAAAATTTTAAATTTGGAGTCCTTTTGTATTTTTGGCGTCAGGTCTCTATAAATCATATCGTTTTCTTCCCAATTTGTCTAAACATACTCTAATTTTATCAATCATGAATGGATTGAAATGAACCCACATTTAATTGTTGGTTCCCCTGTCAACCACTGACTAAAATTCAATGACAAATATGAGTCCATTCGACCACTTCTTATGACAAATACGAGTCCATTGGACCACTGCTTTTGGTCCTTTTTTTTTATTTTTTGGGAGGGGGGGGGGGGGGGGGGGGGGAGAGAGAGAGAAGGGATGATTTGATTATCGAGTGAGTGCTTCCTAAATAAATGATTTTCAAAGTTATTTGGTTCATCAACAAGTTTCATGGTTCTAAATCATGATGTGCAAAAGCAAATTTTAGAAGAATTATACATGTAAAGATGCAATGATTTTCAGTCCAATGCATTCAGTGAGTGCCTTTGGCTATGATTCCATTATAGTTATGTGAAATATCATTATGACTTAGAGCTCATTAGATTTTCCCTTCTTTTTTTGTTTGAAGTATTCAAGTATTTTTTTCACTTAAACAATCTTTGATTTCTCATTCAAATATTTTGACTCAGCGATCGGTCTTTTTCACCAAATAAAAATCCTTGGTTTCGGTTAATAACCAAATCTTTTGGACCGCCAAGTACCGTGTGATCTATTAAAAAAAAAAAAATACTGAACTCTTAGTTTCAATTAATTTCAGTTATTAAGACTCAATTTTTCACAACATAAAAGACCAAAAATAAAAATCCTTTGGATCAGCTTAGCCTGAGCTTTTGCCAGATTGGAGCTGAAAATCAGGATACCATTTACTGATAAAACAGATAACTTCCCTTTTTTTGGCTGAACATGAGGGACTAACTTGATGTCAACCAGTCTTGGACCACAGAAAGATGTCAACCAGCATTTAACATCTCAAGCGCCTCCATGCAACATGTTCTTTCACTACAGAAGCAAGGAGTCAAGACAGTCAGGGATATTGAAGGGACTGTTTTTTGTCTTGAAGAGTTTAGAGGAGAGCAAACCCTGGGTGCAAATGCCTAACACAATCAATTGTTTTCTCTAAGAAGTCACCAGGAAAAAATATATATATCAAACTTCTATGCAAAAATTTAACACTAATCTTCAAGCAAGATGAATGGAAGATGTCAAGTGTATCTTCCATGCAGCAGAATGGACAAAAAGCATAGCTGGTCCGAGCATTGACACACAAATTATTGGTTGTCGGAAGGGGGATGCATTCAGTCTGACAATGTTCTTCAGCATTACCAGTCAACCATATGCATCCAAATTTGCAAGAAATTGACATCACTAAATCACAAACAGATTATACCCACTAACATTCATAATAAACTAGAACCCATGGCAGAAAAATAAGATTAATCTCCATTTTGTTGTCATATATTGCCAAAGAACAGGAAAGATAACTGCAGGCTAAAAAGAATTATCTGAAAGAGAATGCATTCAATAACGCCACATTTGTTCAAGATTCAACAATGAGTTCTTCAGGTTCAAGAGGCTTCTACTACAGCTCACACCAGAGCAATGACAATAAAATATATAAAAAGGAAAACCGATGAGATTGGGCTTCTGGCCACTACTAACTCATCTAATCAAAATTATAGTGCAACAACAGTCTAATATTATATCTGTCTCCGGACTATGAATCAAACTCTATGCTGTGCTATCCATGACTCACGATTTATGCTGCCATCGTCCATGGCTGCAAACAGATTCACATAAACAGCTCTTTATGAACAGATGATCCAGGAATTAAACTTTGCAGCAATTTTATCAGTCTTAGCATGGAAGCCTGCAAAAAGCAATCATAGTTATAGCCCATTACATGTTAATGGGCATACCCATTACGAAGATATCTTCATCATCACTCTGCTCAGGAGAACCATTGGAGGAATTATTACAGGTTTTGTCCATTTCCTCCTCTGCGAAAATCTCCTCAGAGCGGCAATCAAAACTGCAAAATGCCTTTTCACCTCTACAAGAATCAGAAGAAAAAACAGCCTCAGCCATTACAACAAGATGCAACTGAAGTAAAAGTCAAAACGGGATGTGAATTTGATAACCTGTAAATGTAAATGTCTTTATCCTTCTCTAGCTTTTTCTTGCAAGAGTAACAGAAGCTCAAAAATTCATCAGAGGGGTAAGCGTTTGAAGCCTCTGTGCTCTTACCCTGTTGAGGCACTTTTGTTCCCAGTTCTGTCTTTTTGTCAAAATTGGTCAACTCATTTTTGTGACATTCCAAAATACAGTCACCAAAAATGTGAGTTGTTTTGGGGTTTGGACCATGAGAAATTATACAAGTATAATCCTCAGAAAGCTCTATCTCGTGCGCAGAGAGAGATCCCATGCTATGGCCAATGAGTACAGGAAGTGAACTTGGTTTACTTACCAAAGAATTATCTACTTGCAAAGCTCTGCCAATTGGCAGAGGTGAACTATTAATGCTGATGGTTCCATTTTCTGAACAAAAACTTCTGGAACTCAAATTGGAATTTCGGGTAGAGGCAATAAAAGAAGGGGAAAGCTGGGAATCTGGTTTCTGTTCTAATAGCTCTTCCTCATTTCCAATGACAAGACTAGAATACTCTGATTTGGTGTTGGGTTTTCTGGCTTGGAAAAGTGGTGAAATTATATAATTCCTAGGCAAAGAATTGGATTTCATAGAATTACTGAGGAATTCATGGGAATACCTTGAAGAATATGGAAATTTAGTCTTCACCTGTGGTCCAAATATTATATTCTTCCTCTTTGGAGAATCAAGATCATCACCATCTGGTTTAATTTCATCAGCCAGCAAATTCACAATGCCCAAACCTATCTTATCGCAATCCCACTTCTTCAGATAACCACTTTGGGATGATGATCTAGGAGACCTAACACTAAATGGGTTGCTAAAATTTGTAAAAACTCTCAAATCAAGAGGAGATGTAGGGCTCCATACCATATCAGAATCTGAAGAACCCTTAGTGCTAAATCCAACAAGGAAACCAGGAATATTGAAAAGTGAGCTGCCAATATGCCTTAAACCCAATGTATCAGGCTGAAAAAAGGACTCCGAATTAGGGTCAGCCATCAGATTATCATCCATTGTACTTGCCTATGAAGTATGTTGTCTTACACTGCATTATCTATAAACCTAAATCTTCTAGCAAGAAAACCAGCAATTCCTTACTGTATTAGAATGAAGAATTCATCAATATAAAAAAAATACGTTTTATACTAAAATCAACAAACAAAATGACCAAAGCCCATGTATGGCAATTTGATTTAGCTACCCCGAATGACAACATTCAACTGTGATAGAAGTTGAATATCCAGGTAGGTGCAAAAGAAAAATAAATGCACAGATCATCATATTATGTTCAAAGCCCCACAAAAGAGCATTTTGGAAGCTACAATGCAATAACAGGGCTAATACCATAACAATTTCACTTTAAGAACAAAAGTTTGGACAAGATCGTTAAATCATATCAACAATGCAATACGAGGAGCAAAAATACAGGAAAATCTTAATAGAGCTATAAAAAACCTCTTCAAAAAAACATTTTTGAGCATCAATGAACAAACAATGGAAAGAAACAAATCCTCTATAAGTAAATCCAGATCAACAACAAGAGCAATCCTTTTAAACAGCTTATGTGCAACAAAGAACTATATGAACATACAAGGCTGATCAGTAATCTAAATTTAACTCTAATAAGAAGCAAGTAGACATAGGGCTGGAATAGATTTTGGTGATCAACATGAACCAAAACCCAGATTATCATGAACCAAAATTTACTTCAAACGCATCAAATGGGTACTCAAGAAACGGGCTAACGCATCAACATTTAATAAAAAAATAGACCCATGCATGCATCAAAACTACCTTAGACAACATCAAAAGTTAAAGTTGAATCATAAAAAAAATTGAAAACCAAACTGGTTTAAAACAAAGCTCCAACCTTTTTGATATCCCAGATGCTGAAAAACGCAGATTGATAAAAAAAAAAAAAATTTTAAAAAAGAAGAGCTAAAATAATTACAAAATAGCAAAAATTAAAAAAAAAAACGCACCTGGTTTTCCTCTGTTAAAACTTGAAAGGTGAGAGAGAACAAAAGAAAATCCCAAAATGCAGAAGAGGTAGAGATTCTACTTTGGCTTAGCAAAAACATGATCTATCTCTATATAATTTTTTTCCGCCATTTTTTTTGTTTTTTTCTATTAAAACTTTTTAGTTACTATTTTTTTTGCTTCTGCAATGCATCAAAATCAGAGAAACAGTGAACCACTTAGGCTTCTGATATACTTCTCTCTCTTCTCTCTCTCTCTCTCTCTTCTCTCTCTCTCTCTCATTATTAAGAAAGAAATACGTATTTTTATACGGAATTGTAGAAAACAGTGTATATTCCTGGTTTTGGAGTTGAAGACAAAAAGAAAAAAGAGTTTCTTTTGTGTGAAGGAGTCACGCTTGCTGTACACTGCAAATCTTGTCCACTTGATTTGCCCCACGATTTCGCTTTTAACTGTCCTCCTTGATCATCAACTTTTTATTTTCAATTCTATTTTTTTATTCTTTTATCTTTATTATCATTTTTTTAAATGCAATATGGGATAAAACAATTAATTTTAAATTTTAAATTTGATTTTTTTAAATTATTTTTAAAAGTAACGACATGAAACAAATAAATTAAATTTTTAAAATTTTAAATTATTTTATAATAAATATATCTTAAAATAACAAATAAATATAAAGAGCTTACATTTTCTTAAGAAAAAAAAATCACCGTACACTCGAGTTTAACAGAGTTAATTTAAATCTCTTATCAAGTTTTATTTTGATAAAAAAATAAAATGATTTTCTAAACATTTTAAAAAAAAATCGATCATCAAATAACTTGATAGTATCTATTTTTTTTTTCTGCTAATATCTAATAGTTTTTAAGTAGAGATAAAGATTTTGTAAAAAGATTTGATGTAAGAATAACAAGAAATTTTCAAAAATAAAAATTACATCATTTATCATAATCTAATTAGTTATTACCATTTTTATGTAAATTAATTATTGCCAATTAAGAGATTAAGAAAGCTTAGAAAAATATATAAGATTAGATTTTGAATTCTACCATCCTTATCTCTTATCTAATGGATAAACAAAATTAAACAATTATCAATTAAAAAATTAAGATTTTAGTTAGGTTTTAATGATGTATGATTTCCTTTTTTTTTAAAAAAAAAATTCTACCTATTTCTAACCTCGTTTCTATTTACAATATATATATATTTTTAATTTAACAACAAAAAACTTTTGAATTACATATTCCTTCAGAATTGATCCAAATAAATTTATTTTCATGCGAATTTAATGAATTTATGAAAAATTATATTATATAATTTTATAAAATTTAAATTTAAATAATAAAAATATTATTTTTATCATTTAAATTAATTATTCGTTAATTAATGATTTATTTTATTTTCATGAAAAGAGTCAAAACATTATGTTTCGAACCTAAATAATCTCTCAAAGGCTACCAACGTTAGGCCATTCAAGCTACGCGCTAGTTGACTGCATGATTTTCTTTTGGTACAAAATTTTGGCTTCTAGTATAAGTTTTTTTTAATGTGTTAGTTTCGATGTGCTCAACAAGAACTAAAATACTATGAATTTTACCTACTTTGAAGCATTATATTAATATGACATTGACATCTCTACTTAAAGCAATATATTTTTTAAAAAATAAATAATTTATTTATTTTTTTAATAACATCAAAACTTCAAATCTTTGATTGTTGAACATTAGTTTCACTTTTCAACCATAGCTACATCTTATTTTCAACTAAAAACTTGACTTAGTTCCTTTTTTAATGCATTTAAAAAAATATATAATCTCTAAGTTCAACTTTTTTAATTTGACTTTTTAAGTAATAATATGTGCATCTGTTTTTTTTTTTATCGATAAAAAAATTTTAAATTTGGTTCTATACCTAATTACAAACATATTTATTTACAATAATACAATCATCTGTTATTAAATCGAATATCCATATCTCAAATTATATGCCATAAAAATTGAAACCAATGATTTTTTTTTTTTTGGGTGATAAAATGTAAATGACAAATGGAATAATTTGCGGGAAAAAAAATTGTATTCAGACCATAAAATGGTCCATTGAAGATAGACATTAAAAATTCCAGTTGTATAAAGATCAATGCTTTTTGAAAGAGTATATATTGTTTGCCCGTATGGTTAGTGAGCCCAAAAAGACAAAACAAGAGTGGTGGGCTCAACGCTCAACTCACCAAAAACGTCTATTAACGACAACGTATTTTGTTGCGTTTAACACCGTTAACCGATAAAGCACTAGGAACCCAAGAACTTGTTTGCTTCAGTTTTCCGAAACGTATTATTCCCCCGTCGGTGTTTGAACTGAGTTAAAAGACTTAGAGACAAAACCAAGCATTGTTGGGAATTGATCCAAACGCGGTGCACTTTCTTGCTGGTCACGAAAGTACTGATGTGGCCCTAATATTTATATGACCAAACTGCCCTTTTAATGTGCATTAAAATGACCAGATTTAAATTTTAGTATATGTATTTTTTCTTTTATTTATAAATTACAATCTCTTATATATCAAAAATTTTAATTTTTCTAAACGACTTAAACCTCACGCCCTAAGAACATTGTTATAGGTTTTTGTTCATAGTTTAAAATGTTATAAAATTTTTTTGATAATATAATTAGGGCTATTAAATTCTTCGAATAATCTTAAAAATGCATACACTTATATTAATATGATGCATTTAAAATTTTAATTTAAAAATATTTTTTACAAAGATTTTACTTTAAATGAACATTATGATATATAATGTGAATGAGTTAATGCTATAAATGATTTATAAATTATAGTGAAATATTTAATGTATATTTGAACATAAAAAAATTATAATGTGATATATTAATTGTTAATTAATGTGACTTTTAAAAAATTATTTATGTGTCATATATCATCATTTGAAATTAATAATTTTTGAAATAAATGCTACATTAATTAATAAATTTATGATTCAAGCAATACATTAAAAATTTTTTTAATTCAAATATTACATTGATCATTTCAAGGATTATTTATAATATTATTATTAATGTGACTTTATTTGATTAATTCTTTATTCAAAAAACTTTTTCATATCTAACAACAATTTAAAACACAATCCTATATAAATTAAAAATGTATATGATATGTAAAGTTAAAAAGAAATCACAAATATTTTCATATAAGATTAAAACAAGTAGCATAACTCAAGAATAATTTTTTATCATATCCATTATTAAATGGGTTAAATTATTTTTGTATTCAAAAATTTTAATTTTAAAATAATGTGATAAAAATGTAATAAAAATAACATAAATAATAAAAAAATTTAATCTATTTCATTTTTTTTGGAGTTTGATTCTTGCTTCTAAAAATATATATATTTTTTTGAATAAAAATTGAGGTGGATGGATAATTATAAAATTGTGAATACTCTTTGAGGAATGTGGTAAAGTAGTAAATTCACTATGCCACATCATTAATGTGGGACCCAATCAATGAGTTAAACGGCGTCAAATCTGGCCATCAAACTCTATGATTAGTGGGACCAAAAAAGTGGACCCCACTAGAGAAGGCTCTCTCGGAGTAATGATTCCTTTACAGAACTCTTTGTTTTACAGTTCATTTTGTCGTTTAGCTTGACTCAGCCTTTTAAAAAAAGAAAATCTAATTAACTGAAAGGTGTGTAATAAATAGTTATAATAAAAAATAAATACAAATGGGTCCACACGTGTTCGCTTCTGCCGTGCAAACCTCGTGCAATCCAACGGCTGAGTAATGAAAGATTCTCCGGTAAAAGTCAGATGATCTGACGGCTCAAACATGACTTACAGTAAGTGAGGCCCACCACACGTGTCGTGCATATGTTGAAGTGCCAGGATTCTTTTGTTTCTTTGTGTGGCCCTAGATTGGGACATCTTATTTTTTAAGGAATAATATTTTGTTAAGATATTCATTTATAATAAATATATATATGAAATATTGTAAATAAATTTATTAATTTTATCAATAAAAAAGATATTCAGAAAATATTTTGGGGTGTTCAGACGAAATTTTAAAACAAAATTTTTTCAATTTTTAAAAATGTCCAAAAAAAAATTATCCTTTAAATTTCTTTATTTTCTTATTTTTGAGGCGTCCATCAATTCATTTAGAGAATATTTGTATTAAATTGATTTTGAGTTGAAAGCTTAATAATAAAAATTTAACATAAAGAGGATGTGATTAAAAAAAAAAAAAAAAAACTAAGGATATCCTATAATGCAAATTTTTTTTTTATATTTTTGTTGATGTAATTTTTGATTAAGTGATGAAAGGGTTTGTTGGAAGATGAGGTGAAAAGTATGTTAGACTTTTCATAAAAAAATATAAGGAAATCAGAAAGAATATATTTTGAGGTGTGTTGGACCATCCAAATCAGTCAAAATTTTGAAGAGGAGATAAGAAATAAAGGAAGAAACAGAGAATAGAAAAAAGTGTGAAGTAAAAAAAAATGTTACATTCTAATTTATTCTCCTTTTCTATAATTTATAAACGATGATATAATTTAACTTGACAAATGGCTATTTATCTTAAAGTCGTAAGTCAACATTGATTATATGACACCTGAATCCTACTAAATTGGGCACTAAAATATAACCATTATTATTAATCTCAAACTCCAAATGCAAATGCTACTTAATAAAATAATTCATAATTAAATTTAAATAGCTTAATATTTTAGGGGATATTTTTCTATTATCTTAGGCCCCAATGATGTATTTAAAAACTCTATAAATAAATTGAATTTATGTAACATAGTTGAGTGAGTTTAAATAATAAAATTAATTAATAGACCATGTAATAAAAACATTTCATGCTTTAATTCTTTTTTTTTTTTTTTACTTAAAATGGAGATATTTTTGTAGATTAACTCTCAACACGAACATTTCACTTCTATTTAAGCTATTCATTGATAATGTGTTACGTATTTGCTAACAAATTTAAGTATATAAAAAAATTTTTTTTACCCTTCTCTTCCATCTTGATATTTTTTAATACACTTATGTCACTGCCAAAAGCTTATGATTCATTTGAATATAAATGATTAAATAATTTATATTTTACGAATTTTAATTTATTTTAATTTGATAGAATTAAATTTTTTAAAATTAAAAATTAGATACGAAATTAATTAATATTTTTCTAAAATTAAATGTGAATAACGCGTAAAAACTCATATCATTCCAACCTATTACCATATTAAATTTTGGGTGAGACTGCTTTAACACGTTGATACATCGTTGTCGCATAAATGGTGTTTCGAATTTGAGATTTTCATGGACCGGAAGAAGAGACTTACCACTGAACCAATCCCACGAGATACATTTAGATCATTTTTTATTGGATAATTATTCCTTTTTTTTTTTTTTTTTTTTGAAAAAATTTATTTATTACTTTGATTTCACTAGATTAAAAAAATAATACGCAATCTCAAGCCAAAATAACCTTTGAAGACCATTTAACAACGACCCAATGGGCATGTAAATGTCACGGTTTGTTTTCCAAAAAAGCTAACCACAAAACGGAAAATAGCAGCAATCCTCCTTTTATCCCCCATTTTTTTTTTCGTAGTTACTCTCTACACAATCACAATACTTTTTTGTTACCTTCCGTGTTTAATTTTCTTCCAAGAAAACAAAAAATGAAACTTTTGAATTACCTATGAACTTTTGAGTGGCTTCTTAGAGCTTCAATTACAGTTTGATGTTGAAGACAAGTTTGAGAATTTTGAGCGCTTTTACAGGTAAGTCTTGATGGGTTTTTGTTGTTTTTTTTAATTGGATTCTGATTTGATTAAACATTAGGGTTTTTATTTATGTTGAGGAGGACGGGGTTAATGGGAATTTGATTTTTGGGGAAAGGATAAATCAATGATCAGTAGCTGGACAGTAAAAAGGATAAGCGAAAAAAGAAAAAGGAACTTAAAATTTATTGGTTTTTATTTGGTGGAGGGGGTTTGGTTTTGTTAACTTGGGTGTTGAAAGATTGAGAATTCTGTGATTTAGCGTTGAAAAGGTTGTTTTTTTTAGTAATTTTTTATGGGTTTTGTTATTTGATTCAATAATGAAGGAGGAAGCCTGATTTTGCAATTATTTTCTTTTATGAAGAGAAAAGATACAAGGGTTTTAGGACTTAGGTTTTTTCTTTTCAAAGAGTACGAGTGCTGATGAGAATTAGTGGGATTGTTTTTGGGGGAAAAAGAATAACTGGTTGTTGTATTGTTCTGGATGGGGTAGAGGAAATTTGGGATTTGAAATATTAAGGTGCAAGGGAAGTACGTTTTTGTTGTTTTTTATTTTATTTTAATTTTTTTTAGAAGTAGGCTTGGATTTTTAGGGATACTTTTGGGGTTTCTCATTGTTGAGCTGAGTTTTTTTGGTCTTATGGATGAGATTGAGGATGATGCTAGATACCCTTCAAATGCTTATGGTGTTAGTCACCAGCAGGGTTATGGTTCTTCGAATAGCCAAAAGCTTCCTGTTAGAAATGTTCCAGATTCTAGACGGATTGGGAATCAATATGTTGATGATAATGAAGATGAGGAGGAGGAAGCAGATGAGGAAGATCTGGCAGAGGAAGAGGAAAATCATTATCAAAATAATGGTGTTCGGTATGTAGGAAAAGATATAGATGATGATGATGACAATGATGACGATGACGAGCTGGATGATGATGATGATGAAGGTGGTGATAAGCAGAAAGGTTTTAATCGAAAGAATGATGATGCTGACTTGGAGAGGCAACCAAAAAAGAGGAAATTGAAGAGTTTGGTGTCAAGTTATGAATTTGCTCCTCGAGTACTAGCACCAGCACTTGCAGGTCCATCAGTGCCTAGACCTTCACATGGTGGGAGGAATTCTCTTACAGATTGGACTGAGCATGAGACATTTGTTTTGCTAGATGCGTGGGGTGACCAGTTTTTGCAATGTGGGAGGAAGAGTCTTCGATCTGAGGAATGGCAAGAAGTTGCAGAGAAGGTTTCAGAGGTTTCAAAGATTGAAAGGACTGACACCCAGTGTCGAAATCGATTGGATACATTGAAGAAGAAGTATAAGAAGGAGAAAGTTATGCTTGCAGAGACTGGTGCTACTGCTAGCAACTGGGTTTATTTCAAGAAAATGGATATGTTAATGTCAACTCCTCCACAGCAGGGTGGGCTTTCTTGTGGATTGGACTCAGGTGAGTATGTGTTAATGAACCCTACCTTTTATTCTAGCCGTGCAAATGGCTTGGATGAAATGAGGGATAGTCCAGCAAATTCAGAATCTGCTGATGGTGAGGAGGATATCTCAGATGGCCTGCCACCTAAAAAGAGAAAATTTGGGAGGCAAGGTCATGAGGGTTCTTCGTTCAGATTGCTTGCTGATTCTATTCATAAATTTAGCGATATATATGAAAAGATTGAGAATAGTAAAAGGCAGCAGATGTTGGAATTAGAGAAGATGAGAATGGATTTTCATAGAGAGTTGGAAATGGAGAAGAGGCAGATCATGAAGAGAGTGCAGGCTGAAATTGCAAAAATGCAGCAGGGTGATGATGAGGAGAACGATGTCTCCGCTGAGAATGCTAGTGGGTAATGCATGCAAACCTCAGTTATCTCCATAACATTGATTAGATGTCGACTGCTAAATGTTGTTGTATAATATATTGGATCCTTTTGCCAAATGCTATTGTGAGCAACAATAATAACACTAGACATGCTGTATCAGGCAAGTAGAAATTTTTACTGAATTTAGAGAAGATCATTACTCTCATTATCGCCTGTACCCCATTAATGTGGTAGTTCCAGGTGATCCATTTTTCCTCTACAAAATTGCTCTTCACCATTGATCAAGCTTGAAAACGTGGATTGTGTTAGATAACATCATTTTTACAGGCAAGTGCTTTGTTGTTTCTCTCTTGCTTGTGCTGGTGAACATAAGTTGTCTGGTTATGTTAAGTGTAAACATAAGATGTAATGGAGTGATCTGACTTTTTCAACCGCAGAAATTGCCCTTTAGTCCATTTTTTGCTAGATAGACACTAGAAAACAGTACCTGCAAAACTTGCCCTTTCGGTGTTTTACATGTCAAAAGAAAAAGAAAAACAGAGGCCGATAAGAAAGGCTGGGGGTTAGATTTTTGAACCTGGAACAGGTGTTGATTGAGACGGTAAGTAGATCTCATGATTGGGTCATGTCCTGGACTACACCTAAAGCTTTCTCAGTCTTACCTAGCTTAAAATTGCTTTCAATTAATGTTTGTATAAATCATTGAGATAGGCTGTAATCCGTTCTCCTTCATCTCCTCAAAGAATCATGACGACGTCGCTTACTGAAACTGGATACAAGTGCACTCTAGGTTACTTTATCTGGTAAACTTTCACCATCATTACACATCTCACTATGGATCTCATGGACTTTTTCATGGAGCCCTTCTTGCATCAACATCAAGATTACAGTGTTCTAAGTATTTGTTGGCTAACGACTGCCTTGTTCACCGTCTTAGCCTTGCTCGATATTCTCAAAATTTCAGACACAATTCAGCTGGACCGATACATACCCGTTAATTTATTTAAAAAATAAAAAAAAAATGTAATTGTAAAAAGCAGTGGTATATGTATGATGGTTAATATCTATGCTTGTGAAATTAAAAAAAAAATTATTGAGAAAATATCAAACAATTTCTTTATATGTATGTCTTTTTAATTTTTAAAATGATTGTATTAATTTTTTTATCAATTTATTTACTTTAATTTTCACTTTAGAAAGATTAAATTATCTTATATTAAAAAAATAATAATTTTTTTTATAATCTTATCTCTTTCAATTAGATATAAATCAAATATAATATCAATCGATTATCATATTATTTTATCTATCATTGTTCATAACGCTTTAAATTTGGACACTAAATCAACAGGCATTTTAATATTATTATAATTGTTTTATAATACGATTTTAGTGTTGCAAGCTTTGTTTACACCTAATTTTCTTTCCAGACAATTTTCACCAATAATCGAATCCTGAATTTATTTTATTCTGTAAGTGTTTTGCACAACAATTCTAAACCAAACAAATTCACATTCCACTGTACTGCTACGGCAAAACCGACTTCGACCAATGTTTTGTGAATCGCCAGCACCAAAGCCATCCCCGAATTTGTGATCTGTGGTTATATACTCGCCGTACACAAACTAAAATATCAGGAGTAACGGAATACTCCAAACATTTCTTTTGGGGTTACCGTATAAATAAACTAGGAAGTGACAATCGAAAGAATCACTGATACCAACATTCAAAGCGAGACTTCAAATGTTGCAACAGGAAGAAGAAAATGGTCCAGTTATATATGTGTATGTAGTCAAAAAAATCAAGAAACAATACCCAGAATTTAAGTGATTACTAATCCCAAAGCAAATCCTACAGACATAAGGATTAACACGTGAAATCCTTTAAAAGGAGTAAATTTTAGCCTCCCACTAACAGAAAAATGTTAGCAAGAAAGCTCAATAGCAGTCTTTAACTTACGGAAAAAAAAAAAAAAAAAACCGATTCTAAAGACTCACTCTTAATAATAACAAATCTTGGCAGACATTGCAACGAGAAGGCTTTACAGATTGAAAACAACAACCTGATCAACACAGCCTCTCTTAACTGCTTACCCAAAGAGTCGGTCTCAGGCTCTTGTGAAAATAATGCTCACACATGCGGAACAAATTTTGGCCACATAAATCCAAAAAAGATCACCAGGCTAATAATTTATGCACTACTTGAAGTAGTCTCCGATTTGTCAGTTTCCATTGGTTCTGCAGATGCTGGAGGTTCCTCACCATTGCCTGCCTGCACATTTTCACTGGGGTCAGTGTTGTGGTTAGGGCTTGCATTCGGGTTGGCACTGGCATCTGCACCCTGTGGTTGAGGTGGGGTTGCTGGTTTTTCAGGCGTGGCTGGTTTAGCTGGTTTAGGTTTTGTCATTATTGGCCTGCAAAACCTGTTTAAGACAAATATCGAATCTCAGCATTAACTATCATTACTTTGTGCAGGATACAGAAATCTTAGAACAAATAAAAAATCTACATGCTGGATACAAAACCTAAAGCAGGTGAAATAGTGGAGACCTGTCTAGTGCTTCAGCCTTCTTTCTCACATCAGCTGACAAGAGAACAGGAGTGGCATACTTAGGAAGTTGATCCTGCTGCTGTTTTTTCTCCCTTAGCCAGGCTTCAGCTTCCACACACTCATTTAAGACCTACAATGCACCAAAAGGATTAGATCTCAGCAATAAAAGGAGTGGAGAGAGGGAGAGAGGGAGAGAGAGAAGGAGCCATTACCTTTTGCTTTTCAGCAAGTTCAATGTGATCAAATTTGGGATCATTTGACATGGCCGCCTCCCTGTAACTATTAATACAGTAAGCAAGCTGATCGATGACAGTTCCCCTCTCGGTATACTCTCTGTAACGTTCTTCAATAGGATCCCCTTGCTGCAAAATTAAGACATCATCAGTCAGATATGAGTTTATACAGTCAACTTGAGAAATCACAAGAACAAGAGTTACCTTCTTAAGCTCTTCAAGCTTGGCAACATAAACACCCTTTGTTTCATCCTCCCCATCTTCATATAGCCAATCCTCTGTTTCCTGAAGCTTAGCAATAAACTCTTCCTTCTCCGAAGCAGTGACAAAATCATGGTATTTATCACTAAGCTGAAGACACAAAGTATGATTAGTTTTTAAATTATAACAGCCAAGTAACAACTCTAGCAAATTAGTAGACTACAATTTACCTTATTCCTCATGTCATAGACATAGGCCTCAACAGCATTTTTTTTATCCTTTGTTTCTTCCATAACCCTATCTTGCAAAGCCATTTCAAACTCCTTCTCTACAGCATTTTGAACATCAGCAGGTGACATTGCACCATACACCAACTCTGCCACTGGGACATTTGTTTTCTTCACCTTCTTCTTGGGAGCCTCAACCTATACGACAGGCAGAAGTAAAAATGTAAACAACAAACCAAACACATAAAAAAACCTGAGAAAAAGGCTCCAAAGTTATTCCATATAAGAAACAAGCATACTAAAAACTTGACAGTAACCTGCCTTAAAGGCTACAGCACAATTCTGGCAATTCATGTATATAGCATGCAGACAAAAGTCACTTACTTTGGTATCGGTATCCATTTGGACAGGCTTGTCCCCTGACTCGGGAACACCATTTTCAACCCCTGCTACATCAGCTGTACCCTTGGCATCTTGCATGTTAATATCTGTCTCATTGGCACTGGGGGCAGTAGTATCACTAGGTGCTTCATCAGTCTCCATCTTAGTATCTTCTTTTGCCTGCTCTTTTGAAACTGGAACTTCAACTTCTTCCTCTTCCAAGAGCTAAAAACACATGAAAGTAGTCAGGAAAGAGCACAAAATTTTACCTTTCAACTATAATTAAAGCTTAAAATGTTGATTCGCAAATACTTACTGTTGCTGACTCAAGGGACACAATTCCATGCAAATTCAAACGAACTTTGACCTTCAGTTTTGGTCGTTCACTTCTTATTGTTGGAAAAGGACCAATCTGCCATTTAACAAATGCCACAAATTATTTCACAAATCAGAAGGTTGAAAAAGAAATTTTTGTACTGAACAAGTGATTCTTAAGGAGAAGTAAAAAACTAAAAAAAAAAACTTATGAGTTTGATCAAGGTTTTGGGATAAATTACCGTGTATGTACTGATCTTTGCAGGGGCCTGCAAATCACTTATGTCAGAATATTGAACATCAACACTGAAAGTACTCGTTTTGTGGAATGTCACAGCCTTGACACTGGGTATCGGATTTCCCTTTGGAAAAACCAGTTGCTGTTGTTCTGCTCCTCCATTCTGAGCATCTGGAGAAGATCCTTTCCATGATAGTGAAATTGGAAAAGGGAAGCTCTCATTGACCTTCCAATCATACAAATTCAGTGGTGAGCTATTTTTGAAATACAGCAAGAAATAAAAGAAGAGTAAACAAAAATAACAGTAGGGCATGCAGCATCAACAATGGAGAAAGTAAAGTATGGAAGAGGTCCAAGGCAAAATTTTGAAATATGGCAAGAAATAAAAGAAAAGTAAACAAAAATGACGGTAAGGCATGCAACATCAACAATGAAGAAAGTAAAGTATGGAAGAGGTCCAAGGCAAGATCTTGCATCATTTTCATCTTCAGGACAATGAAGAAAGTACAGAGAGAAATCATACTGCATGTTTCTCCAAAAAAATTAACTACTTAAGTCGCATAAGAAAGCCTCCAAGTAATGAATGATAACTACACAGCTGAGATAACACTCGACAGAAACAGAAAACTTATAACAGTAAATTAATTACAGGCAGAAAATTACCTGAAACTCCCGAACTTTGAATGTGGGACTAAGAATTGCACATTGCAAAGCACAACCCCTTGCAACACATTCACTAGCATTCATTGTGCGCCTAGGCTCTTTACCAAAGAACTCTATGAGGATTTTTATCAAAGCAGGAATACGAGATGCTGAACCAACAACCTCAACCATGTGAACATCCTCAACTGCAAGACCAGCATCAGCAAGTACCTTCTCCAACGGCCTCTTCACACGTTGCAAAATTGGAGCACTGATCAGCTCAAACTCCTCTCTCTTAATGAAGCCCCTAACATCCTTCTCATCCATTAAGCACTCAATATTTAAAGGCGCCTCAGGATTTGCGCTAAGTACCTTCTTTAGCTTCTCACAAGCAGCCCGAAGCCTAATACATGCCCTTGCATTCTGGAAGACATCAATCTTGTATTCCTCTTTAAATTTTGCAGCAAAATGCCAAAATAGAACTTCATCAAAATCTCTACCACCCAGAGAGTGGTCAAATGAATGAGCCAATATCTTGAGTTGCCCCTTCTTGAAGCCAGCAATACAAACTTGCATGCTAGCATGTCCAATATCAACAAAGGCAACATTTAATTGGTCATTTTCAGATAAATCAGTCTTATAGATGCCGTAAGCCAATGCTGTTGCTGTAGTTTCATGAATCAAGCGGAGAGGGTGCAAGCCTGCAATTGTAGCTGCATCTAAAACTGCCCTTCTTTGAAGATCGGTGAAATATACAGGAATACCAATGCAGCAATCAACCACTGCTGAATTTAGATTCTGCTCAGCTATGCTTTTCAAATTTGACAAAACCATTCCCAAGACTTGGGTTGGAGTAAAAGTTCTCGTTTCACCTAAATAACGAGCATGAATCAAAGGATATCCATCAGGACCCTCAGTGACATTGAATGGTAGCAACTTAAGATCCCTTTGCAACTCAGGATCTGAGAACTGACGGCCAATCAACCGCTTTATCTGAGAAATTGAATTTTTAGGGTTCATAGTAGAAGATGCTGCCCCTGCAGTACCAATGAATCTCTGCTTCTCCCCAAAGCATACAATGGCTGGAGTTTCACGCTTTGATTCCTCATTAAGCACAACATCAATCCCTCTCTGTCTTGCAACAGCAACAATGCAGCTCTCATTGCCAAAATCAAACCCAACAACGCTCATTTTCAGTAGCAATTACACCAATTGATTTTATAAAGAAAAATGGATCTGACAAAAAAAAAGTAATATGATTATATATAAATATTAAAACAAGAAAGGCTAAAAATCATCATCACGATTCTAGAAATCTAGACATGGCATCACCATAATCAGAGGTCTAATATGTAACAAATTATCAAATTAATATCAATCATGGTGATATAAATATATTCTCATTTATTATAAGCAACAAATTGTGGCTCAAGCTTCCTTGGTAACTTCCATGGACTTGAGCTCATAGGATCATTACTCTTTAATTAATACACTAATAACCATAACAAGATTCAATCAACATTTACCCTTTGCTCTCATTTAAAGCCTCTTGTTGAGTTGATCATTCACACTTGAACAAAAAACACATAACGTTCAGAGGCATATGCTTACCAGGTGCATGCAGAGACACAAATACACTTAAAATTAATGAAACAGTTTATTAAAAAAAACCTTCAAGTTTCACACACGAATCAAAAAATTAGAAACAAATCCTAAAAACTTTTACAATCAGATTCCAACTCAAAAGCAACACTCCTTAAACTAAAATTGATCAGAAAAGCAAACTCCCTGCAATGACAAATAAAAATCACATTTAAATCAACCTAAAATAACCAATTTTAACTTCGTTTTAATTCTCAAATAAGTCTCCAAGGAGAAAAAAAAAGTTGAATTCAAAGAACATATGCAAAAAAATACAACAAAAAACCTTAAAATAAGCTAATTTTACACATAAAAGAATCGAAAATTAGAAATAAAAAAGAAAACCATTTCCACCTGAATCAATAGAAACAGCCAAATCTTAATAGAAATAAAAGTCAATGCGAAAAGCATCGAGCAAAAAAAAATCCACTGATGCACCGAATCTAAAGCAAAAACTAAGCAGATCTACAAAATTCCAGGCAGAGAAATAAAGGCAACAACAAAAATCAAGAGACGAAATTGCAAAGAACGAAGGCTGCGATCGTACCTTTGACGAACGAAAGAGAAAGAGAGAGGGAAGATTGGGGACCAAACAGGTTCTGGAAATTTCTATTCAAAAACACCTAGAATTAGAGTTTGATGGGTTTTTATTAAGGAGGCTTTGTGTGGAATTTTCGATTTCTTTTTAGACCTTTCTTTTTTTAATTAATACTCGGTGATTTTTTTTAAAAAATTTTGTTGCTCTTTTGCCCTTTTTATATAGTTTTGGGGGAGTCGCTGGGGTAGATTGGTCCGAGAGTTGTCTAGAGATAACATCGCTTCTAGAAAGATCGACAGACAGAAAAGCCTTTGGAATTCTTTAGGTTAACCTTTTTAGGTTTAAGAGCCGGGTTGTTGGTGGGTCCATTGGTTGGGTTATCGGGTTTTGGGCTTTTAATCGGGTTTTCAAATTCTTTCAAGAAGAAATGGACTTGAGAAGTTGAGCCTCTTTATAATGAACCTGGTCTGCTAATCCTTTTTTATTTTTTTTTCTAATTTTTTATGGTATTTGGATTAAAAGAACAAGAAAATTTTGTTATGATATTTGTTAAAATCAACTCCAAAAAATGTGATTAACATCTTCATTAATCAGTAGCTAGTAGTATATACTTATAAAGTCATAAGTTTATAAACGTTTGTTACTTAAAATATCAATTATAGTTTTGTTTATCAATAAAATATCATTCGTAAATGAGAACAATATAGAATATATATTTGATAAGTCATGACATTGTAAAAGGTACTAATCATGAGATTATTGATCATGTTATGTTTCGTCTGATAAATGTTTTTATTTTTTATAAAAATAAATAATAAAAAGTAAAAATCAAAATAAACAAATATAAAATTTAAAATTAAAAATTAAAAACAAAAAACCTATCATACATAATTTAGGGGGAGCAAATGGTCCATTCATATTGTAAAAAAAAAAAAAATCAACTTAACAAATTTAATCTACATAAAAATTGAGCCAATCGATCAATGACTTAAAAATCGATAATAAATCAAACTGACTTAATGCCATCAATTTAGTAGGTTTTTTCGATTTTAATTCTCACATATTGTCTCAAATATAGTAGTTACTCATACCTACAATCCATATGCCACAAGCCTATTTACAAAAGTTACCAAAAAAGCCATAGTTGATCTGATGATGATCAAAACCTATTCAGCTTAATGATCATTTAAGTTTCCTCCTTATCTCAGCAAAGCCATCAAGCAAAATTCACAAGACAAACACTTTATAGTATATATCAAACCTTTATCAATCAATCAAAACAAGTAATGCCTAATCCTCTACAAAACTACATGTGTAAACAAAATTCTTAAATTATACTAGAAATAAGCAAAAAAAAAAAAAACTAAAATAATTTGTAACACATCAAATTTTGAGTGAAGAAAAGGATTAAAGGAGCTTGGCAAAAGAGGAAGGAAATGATGAAAGCCCACTTGGATGAAAGAATAAAAGGCTGCTTAGTCTAACAATGAAAGATAACAGCCGTGAGAAACAATAAACGTGTGAGAGACTAGAAAGCATGATGGAAGTGCGAGTGGCAGCGAGATTCAAGAGAGGTATAAGTTTGTGAGATCAAGAGAGATTGAATGAGTAAAAGACTAAAGTTGAGAGGCTAACAGGATAGGGATTTTAGATTTTAGGGTTACTAGCATAATATCTACGCACTGTTGCGGGAATACAGATGTATGATGATAATATAATTTTTTTTTTAATTTTATATTAATAACAAATATATAAACCACAAAGCCTAATAAATTCAATTTGCAATCATCAATGAAAGCAAGCAAATCTACAATTCTAATGTCCAAAAACTATTACAATTCCCTCATATTTCTTTTCCAAAGTGGTGGGCAATAATTCAAACTAAAGACATTTAAAGTCAATTCAAACAAAAAAACAATAATAATGATAATATTTCTAAGTAGTTGAATACTTATGAATCTTCATTTTACTGGGGGAATATAATCAAATTATGCAACACAAACCAAATTAGTTACCAAAAATGAATAATTAGATTCTCGATTCACTCATTCTTATCTAATCTATTAGTGAGACTTTTATAACAGAAAGTATAGACAGAATTTATAATTAATAAAAATAAAATATTTAGTTGGATTTTGTACTAAACAAAGAGTGGTTGGCTCCGTTAAAAGCAATCTTGTCGAAAACCACACTTTATCTCCATCTAATATTTTGTCATAAATTGTGTTAATTTATCTCTTAGAATAAATATTAATGAAAATAATAATCCTACAAGACAATCAAATCAAATTCCATCTTATCATGAATGTTGAAAATTTAATAAAAATTTCATTGTAAAAAAAATGGGTTAGTTCACGTTAATTTAGGGCTTTGTTTGTTTTTCAGAAATTGAATTTTAAAAAATAATTTTTGAAAAATATTTATATTTTTGAAAAAGTAAAAATTTTCGTTGTTTCTTTTTTCAAATAATATTAATATAACTATTAAAATATTAAATTTTATTTATTATTAAAGTATATTGAAATTATTTATTATTAAAATTATTAATATTCAAGAATAATTATATTTTAATAATAATATTTAATATTAAAATATTGTATTAATATAAAATACTTAAAATAAAACTATTTATTATTCTTTATATTAATATTTTAAAATATTTAAAATATTTTTACTAATTTTAAAATATTGTTTTTATTAATATTAAAATAATAATATTTATTATTATAATATTTATACTGTTAAAATATTTATATTTTATATTGAAAGTATCTATTATTAAATGATATCAAAAATATTTTTTATTTATATTTATTATTAAAATAGTAATATAAATACCATAATAGTAATATAAATAAAATATAAAATTATATATTTTAAACTAAAAAAAATAATAATTTATTTAAAATATTAATATTAAGAAATTTGTGGACACCATATTTAGTCCAGGGCTCAAACCAAGCTCAATTGTCTAATTTCTTACATTTTTTTATATATATCTTGTTTGTCTTATTTATTTATTTATTTATCTTTTTTTATGTTTTAGTCTTTTATTTGATTTTAAATTTTTATCATAAATCATGTCAATGAAATTTATGAAGTAATTTGAGCACTAATCAAAGATGATCTTGATAATTAAAATTAAAACATGTCTCTTCAAATATTGTTAACCTTGAATTGATCTTTATTTTGAAATGACAAAATTTAAGTTAAATAAGCTTGATTAAGATTTTGAAAAATTTTTATTTAGTACATGTTCTTAAGTTTTATATTTTGGTACTAAATAAATAATATATTTTTTTAAAGTGTAAACAAACTTTTCTTTGTTTTCATATTTCTCAAACTAAATTTATCTTTTAAAGATTATTTATTTGAGCTTAAACAAAGGTCTAATTGTTGTTTTCAAATGACGTATCCATTTTGGACTTAATATAATTTTGATAATACTGGTTTTGAGAAATAGATTAACTTAAAAAAGTTTTTTTACAAGAATAAAGTTTTTAGTATTAAACTTGTTTTATTTTTCTGTACTAATTCACGAAATTTTAATATTTGAATTTTATATGGTTAGAAAGCTTTTTTAGTCTACTTTCTAATGGATCAAACAAAATCAAAATCAAAAATTTTTTAAGAAAAGATTTTGAATTTTTACTAGACACTCTGTAGTTGTCCAAAGACTATAGAAATGGTAGTTTTGAAAATTCACTATAATTCGTATATAATGAATTAGGTGATGAATTTTATATGGATAGAAACTTTTTTAAGTCTAGTTTCAAATCTTCAAACAGTTTGTGATTTGTATTTGTATAACTTAAGATATGATTAAATTAGTGAGTAGAATGTAAAGTAAGATACAACAAAGTAGCTCGACCGGATTGATCCTATGGGTTATAAGATTGATCCCCTAGTTGAACCAATCGATCGGGTCCCTTACCTAATTAATCGGATCATGTTTTTCAAGTGAAAATAGCACAAAACTTGAACCAATCAATCCCCTCATAAAAGGGATCGATCGAGTCTGGGTAGAAATTCTTTAACGAGTAGTTTTTCATGCTTCCAACGGGCATTTCTTATTCCAAACTTTCCCTAGTGGCTAGCTCTTCAATTTTTCTGTATATTGACAACTCCAACACACCAAGAAGATTGATGAACAAAGAGAACAAGATCAACAAGTCATACTTTCATTCTCTCAAAGAAATCAAGAGTTTTAAAACTTAAATTCAATATCCTTTATATTTCTTATATCCAAAATATTGTTGTGTATCATTTATCATTTTTTTTGTACTTCATTAAGTAAACACTCAACCTTAAGAGGTATTTTAGTTTACCAAAATTATTTGGGTTATCTTGTAAGCAAGAAGTGAGGTATCTTTTTGATATTATAAGAGTAGAGGTTGCTATCTAAGCCTTAAGAAAAATATAGAGATTTAGTATAAGATAAGTTTGTATCTTGTAAGAGTTTTTCTTCAATTATTGGATTGAAACCTTAGTTTGAACAACCAAGACAGAGGACGTAGGTACTTTGTGAAGAAGAATCGAACCTCTATAAATTAATATGTTTGATTTCTCTATCCCTATCTGCTTACAAGTTATTGTTATTTATATTTGATTTTAAGTTCATTAATTGTTATTGTTTACATTATATTTTCATCAAAAGTGCTTATTGTTTTAATTTCCATTCAATTATATTGAAATCATTTGTTTAAGAAGAATTTAGAGAAATCTAATTTACCTCCCTCTTGGATCATCATTTCACTTATAAAGCTAACAATTAGTATCAGAGCTTTGGTCTCTTATTGTAGGTTTAATCACATTGAGTAAATATCTTATGACTTAATTTTTGTTTCAAGATGGTGAAGAAGTCAAAGAATGATGAAGATGTTCATAATGGTCCAAGATTTTAGAGTCTGAAATTTGGTTGAAAAAGGGCTTAGAATTCCTTCAAATGTTGTAAACTACATGAGGCAAGTGATGAATGATGCAAGGTCAAGTGCTTACTATATGGAGCTCTTGACTCTCATAAATTTAACTTGGTATCAAAATGTCCAACATCAAATGAGATATGCGAGAAGTTGGATGAAATACATGAAAGACAACAATCCAATCAAAATGCATTATGTCTCATGGATCTTGAAAATTCGAAGGTAACTTCTAATTTTATTAATTCAAATTCATATGCTTTTGATAAATTGTAAGATACTTATAAT